ATATATATAAAAGGAAACATGAAACTACCACTTTACAGGTTAAAAACTGTCAAATGATGACAACTTAACATGGTTCAGCCTAGCAGAGACTCTCATGGAATTTCCATAACACTAAGACATTGACATTGCCACCCACTTTAAAACAGGGAAAAATGAGGTTCAAAACTACTAAATGACTTGGTGCATTTCTCGCGGTATCTCCCTCTATTTAAGGAAACATGAAACTACCACTTTACAGGTTAAAAACTGTCAAATGATGACAACTTAACATGGTTCAGCCTAGCAGAGACTCTCATGGAATTTCCATAACACTAAGACATTGACATTGCCACCCACTTTAAAACAGGGAAAAATGAGGTTCAAAACTACTAAATGACTTGGTGCATTTCTCGCGGTATCTCCCTCTATTTTGTGTCTGAGGTTGAGGGTCTGGACTCGAGTAATTCACAACTAGTAAAATGTAGGACTGCAGACGCGAAACTCACAGAGACTTTTCTCACCTCCGTCTGTACCATGGCTGGCCGTTGTGTCCTTAACATTTTGACGGTCTGGAAAATATCTACAACCCCTTCATATCTCATTCTTTCCAAAACAATGCTCAGTGTGATGAAGACACCGGTTCTCCCAACGCCCGCACTACCAAAAGAACGAACAAAGGCAGAGTTACAAGGGGAGGCGTTCGCAGTCCCAGCCACATTTGGCTGTTCTTGTAGCTTCTACTCTGAGTGTCTCCGCAACATCTCTAGGACAAGGTGGAGCTGGATGCACCAAGTGACCGCTCTGGGGAGAGTATGCTGTGACAAGTGAGAAAACAGTAATCGGGAGTAAGTCTTATAAAATTTTCACATTTTCACTGTGGCTTTGTTTCCTTTTAGAAAGACCAAGGAAACAAAAACATTATAAAAGAGAAGGGAAAAGAGGTGGGGTAAATAAAACATAGTTTCAGGCACTGCATAAATGCTATAACTTTAAGGCATTGTCTATTAAATATTTTAAGTATGAAAGAATTCAGAGTCAGATCAAATAAAATGGGCATCTTCAGTTTTTCTGGTGAATTTGTACAGTTATAATCCATGTAGGGTGGACCAACACTTGAAACCCTAAGTATTTGTGAGAAGGTATACAGATGACATAAATACAGCATTGACACTGGTTTGGACGTGACTGTCTAAAACAAGGTTATCGGACTTTCATGCAGGCTTCAGGTGGGGCTGTGAATTGTGTAAGGACTGTGGAAATGTCACTCTTTCATGTTTCATGAATATATCTTTCAACAGCTTCTTAAAGAGATCTCTAAAATAAGAGCCCCTGATCTCTGTACTTATCCACTATTTTTAGGTGGTTAGAAGCTAAAACCACCCAACTTTTTATAGCATGTTAGCAAGACTTAGAGTTTCTCTCTCGTCTTTACTATTTTCAGATAATTTTCATTCTTGCTGCTGTGCTGGAATTAATTCATAGCTTTGTGTACTTAAGGAGAAAAGCATCTGGAGGTTTAGGTAATGAGAAAGACAGTGCATAGTCTGAACAATCCCTACATTTTTGGATCCTAATTAAGCGCCATGTGTAACGCTTGGGTGCAGGCTATATAAAATGGATGGATTCATTTACTTGCGATACAGCTGACAGGCATATATAAACAGTGTGTCCCTTTGTAAACTGTGATTTCTGAGGAGTCTAAACAGAAATGTGAAGTGGGGCCTTAAAATTCGTGGCCATTCTTTAAAAATTAGCTAAGGATGTCCAACAGCAGCTAATGCTTCTTCTAAGGCAGAGTAGATGACCACAAAGGTCTCTTTCAACCCTGAAAGTTCTCTCAGTCTCCAGAGAGACTAGGACTTATAATCTTTTTGTGGAATAGTCCAGGCATTCCTGAGTCCAGCTTAGATTGTTTGTTTGCTAGAATGTAACAAAAAATACAGAAAGTCAGCAACACGAAGCATTTTCAGGATAAGAATAGGCATTGACCTTACCACTTCTGAATTTATTGACTTTATCATGTCAGTGTAAGAGAATATAAATTATCTGGAAATATCTTGAAAATAGCACTTAAGAGAAAAATACCTAAAAATACCAAGGAATATGACATGCTAATAATATGCCATAGCATTTATACTAAAAGTGTATTTAAATCATTTTGTAATGGGAAAGCCTAGAACTAAAACTATATATTAATTTAACCATTTATCCTTACAGATAACATAGAAAGGTTGGAATGAGCATTTTGCCAAGTAGAATTATGAGTAAAATTGAAAGAAATAGCAAGTGTTTCAGACTCAGTCCACATGACCCTTTCTACATGATCTTTTGGGTGAATACAATGTCTTTGATAATTCAGCACAAAACAAAAATGCAAACAAATAAGATCTGTTTCTCACATAATATTATCTAAGAAAGCCCAAAGAATTTCCCCCATTGTCATAGATGATCATAATAAAATTAAGCCTAGAACGTGTATTTTGATGACCCTGTGGAATGGGAGTCTTATGTTGAGATCTTGCCTTTCATATCAGTAAGAACTGTATTTTTGTAGCATTGAAGCAAAATACTTTTAAATAAACTCCTTTAAGATTTTGACAATAAAAAGATTGGAACCTGAGGTTTCAAGTAGCTGGAGTGTTAAAAATTTCTTTTACTACAAGAGTTTTGCATAGAAACTTCTAACAGCACTAAATTTATGGTAAATGTCTAAACCATTTACTTGGTATTTCTATTAACTTCAGTGACTTAAATTATAAAATGCTCTAGAAATAATTAAATTGAAGGTGCTTCATTTTCTGATATAGCAACAATTTTCAAGCAAATTGCATTTTTAACTGAGGTACCATTCTAATTGTTTATTGACTGGCAAGAATTAGTATTGTCATTAAGGCTTGATAGCTATTTATGGTTCTCCCAAGGAGACAAACACAGGACAGAATGATATAGAAAGATACTTATCAGAACAATGCTATGAAAGCAAAGCAAGTAAGAAATGATTCACATAGATTATTATACCAACAGTTCCTGGGAAACTGCAGTTTGCTTTTTCTACAAGAGGTAAACTTTGGGAGTAAAATTTTTCTCTAATTATTTTGACTTTATGGTAAGAGAAATAGATCCCAATGTATTACAATACATTGCTGAGAATATTTCAATTCTGTGGATCCACAATGGCAAGCTTATCAAAAAGTGAACGTACAAAAACATTTGTTTTCTGAGTTGTTACTGCATCGATAGTGAGTGTGTAGCTAGAATTCTCGAGTCTCAACTCACCTGCAGTGGACTGAAATGGGACCATCTTGACCAAACTGTTCTTTTGTTTTATGGACTTGGCCGATGAAGTCAATAAATCCTTCTCCGGACTTTGGCACTCCTTGCTCTGGCCAGTCAGTGAACTGGAACTGTCTCACAGTCCGGGACTGGCCATCCTTGGGAGGGAAAGCCACATAACCCCGTCACAGAGAAGGGAGCTGTGGGGATTCCTCAGGTGCACAGAGCATGAAGGCAACAGACATCACTTTTTCCAGGGATAAGGGCACAAGAAGTTAGCAACATGTTCTACTAAAAAAAACTGTGTGTCTTACCTGCTATTAGTACTGTCTATTTTTGTATTTATGTAAGTCACAAATTTATTCTCACTCTTACAGTGGCCTGTTAAGAAGTTAGGTTCTTGGATAGGAAATAGCCATACTGCCTATTAGCAAATGCTTCTGAGACACACAGGACAGGTTAAGTGCAGAATCACTGATGCTCTATTTAAAAACTTTCATAATCCAGTGACTTCTTAATTTTGGCATGTTGTCCAGACCTGAGGTGGTTCTACTGTCATGATGACCTCACATCTGGAGTGCTTATTTCTAGCAGTATCAAATGACAAACGGTGACATTTAAAGGATGTGATATAAACCAGGTAGTTGCTGCTGACCATGACCAGACTGCCCCACCCATCTCAGAGGCTTATAATTTCTAACCCTAGTGGGAGGCGGAGCATGTGCCAATTGACATGTTGCTCAGTCAGAGATGAAGGATCTCTTAAGAACACCAAATAAATGTCACTGTCTGTCAAAGGACTCTTCTGGACTGACCACCAGAATTAAGTAGGCTATTGGGGGCATTTACACCGACAAGCCAAAGGCAAAAAGAAAAGCCAGATGTAAGAGGAGTCTTTCTTTTATAATGGATTAGGTGAAACTGCTTAGACTCACGAAAATGCAGACACTTCTAATTCTTTCTGGATTTTTAAAAACAGGAGCAGAAGGGGCTATCTGCTTATAGAAGACAGTATCCAGACTCCAAGCTTAGAGGACCTGCTTCTGCTGGAAGAGCCTTCATCCTTTCTATCAATTCCAGCTGAGCACCCCTCAACTAGTCTCCTGGTTCGCCAGGGCAGACTCTGGGTCGGTGTCTCTTGGGGACAGAGGTGAAACAGGAAGATCACACCAACCTTGAGATAACACTGAGAAATACAGAAATAACCACCTGGCTCCAGAACCAAGTTGGGGCTGGTTACCACAGAAGCATGATTTGCTTCCTTCTGTTCCTGGGAAAGGTTTGGAAAGCAAAGGAAGAAAAACCAGAGCTAGGCAGGCAGATATGTTCTCCTTTGAATGTCCTTGGGATTTCATTTTTGACCACAGTTGCTTTTAACAGCAAGAAGAGGTCACGTGCACAAACGTTTGCTCTTTGGAGGCGAGACCACCTGACTCCATTTAAAGGTTACCTGTATAACAAGACTGTATTCTCAAGTGCCAACTTGCTTTCTGCACTGGGAAATTGAGATTAGAAACACATCAAGAGCACAAACAGCAAGTGCTGTGGTAGCTAAGAAAATTATACGATCACTGGGGGATTTAAAAAATATAAGCAAAGTCCTGTTTCAATCTTTCTTTTTGGCTATTGTGGTCAGATTTCACTTGAGGGAGCAAGGAGCAATACAGGTGTTTTTGCTGCAGGGGAAGCTGTCACCTGGCCTCTATTGTCAGAAACGGTTGGTGAGGTTACTTCAAATGTGCTCAGGAATTTTACTCACGTACCTGGCTTTAAATTCTGAAAGGGCATTTAAAAAAAAAATAGGGCAGGTCACTGAGGCATGCTCGTGCAGCTCAAAAATGAGACCTAGGGACTTAATTGCTGCCTTGAGTATAGTCACCTTCGGGGCGCTAATACTTCAGATTTTTTGGCATTAACAGGTCTGTCACCTGGGCCAACCCTCCTGCTAATCTCTCTCTCTCTGTGTGGGTCAACAGTCAGGGCTGGGCTTTGGGGATGAGCAGACTCTCTTCAAACATAAGTTTGGAGAAAGCCGCTTTCCTGAAAGAAAAAAAGAAACCCAAGAAACAATGGATCAAGAAAATAGCTCCACCCTGGAGTTTTATTCAACTCACTCACTGTGACAGTTTCAAAAACAAAGCAGGGCTTTGGACTGACCCAGTCTTCCCCAAGACGTATTTGTAATCATGATTTGAGAGTGGCCCAAGGCAAAGATACTGCATAATATGCACAGAACATCTTACATCAGGGTTGAACCTTGGACTCGGCAATCTTGCTAAGAAATTCAGAATGAGAATTAGCTAACAAGGGTCGTGGGTGCACAGCTCTCACGGACAGACACATTAGCACACAGAGGAATAAACCATGCCAGGAATCAAATTAGAATGTGCACAGCTTGTCAGATTCTTCTAAAGAATGCCATTTGCTGTGCAGTTTTAAAATCATACCAAATTAACCTCCAAGCCCACAATGACCTAAAGGGCTTTGCAAAACAACAACATATTTACAGCCTCAAGTAATGAAGAAATCAAAAAACCCTCCAAAGAGAATGCGCTGAGAAGGTGAATGTAAGTGTAGCCAACCAATCAGTAAATGCTTCCCAGCAAAAACACTTACCAAGTTCGTACCCAGAGATGGGCTGCCAGATGTTACGCTTGAATGGAAGCCAAATCTGAGTTTTTGGGAGTGCTTGCCAGACAGGAAAATTTGCATATTGTGTGTATGTATATGTGTATATATATATATATATATATATATATATACACATACATATATACACACACACACACACACATATATATGGGACTGCGGTCACTTGGCAAATGTTTCTCCTGAAGAAGTATCTTTGAGACTAATTCTGGGCTAATTGTTAAGAACCGGGGACTCGCACTGACTTACCCGGGCATCTGTGACCTTGAATTCTCGTAGGATATACTGCGGCATGTTGTACTCAGCCATGGGATCTACAACAAAATACTGGTATCTTGCAGAGCGTTCTGCTGGCCAGTACTGATGACACTTCTCCTAAAAGAGAAAACTAATGTTAAACTACAGAGTGTAAAAAAAAAATTTCTTTTTTTCATTGCACATCTAATAAAATTCCAAAATTCGGGCAGTCCCAATTGCATGTGGCACATTTCCTCTTTGAAATCCTAGGCTCTAAAAAGACAGGAAAACCATCCGGGTTAACACTCATCTGTGATGTTCAGCACAGTATCTGGTGTATAGGAGGTGCCTAGTACTACATCAGTTGATAGCTGGTGGATGTACTGTGGTAAGGCAGGTACTTTTTAAAGTATAAGTTATCCAAATAATGACACCAGCTAGCCCTGTCAGTGCCACATCCCTGCACCACCACACTTGCTGTGGAAAGAGCAGAACCCTCAGTGTGCACGTGGAAAGAAACCTCCCAAATGATCCTAAATATCATTTGTCGATTGAAGAGCTTGTGGCCCAGGCAGTTTTAATGACCGGGGAAAGCCCTGCAGAAAGCCAGTTGGAGAATCAGAGCAAGTCAGCTACTTTCCTAGTGTGATACTTCTTGGCATCCTTCATGGACTCTAACAGTTGGATTTTAACTGCATTTTTAGCTTTTAATTTACCTAAGAAAGAAAAATGCCTCAAGTAAATATTGCAAAATGTTTGCATAACTTGAACGGAAGTTTTTGGTCCTAAATATCTCTAATACTACATTCTGTATATTTCAGCATGATCATTTCTTAAAGTACATCTGGGGTTACAGGGTTAGAGCCTGGAGGAATGACAGAATGACAACACGTTTGTGTATGAAACCAGCCCGTCCCGAGTAGAAGAAATAACATAGGAGAGCCATAAAGCAAATGGGGACACCAGGTAACTTATTTATCTCTATAATTGTCCTTCCTCAGGACCAAAGCATAGGCCTTTCCTTAAAATATGCAAATTGAAGAGGTCCATGTGGTCTTGCTAGTTAGACACCAACAAGGAGTAAGGAACGACCCAGACGTGACCAGCGAGCTCTGTATTTCACAGAAAGAAGGCTGGGCCTGAGTTGTGAAGAGGCATCCCTTGTTCACCTGAGTGAATGTTTTTATGAGAAAGCACACGTACTCTTCCCATTTCCCGCAACTTGGTGAGCATCACAACTATGGTGGAATTGTGTTCCCACAGCATCCTCCAGAAGTCTTCCGTGGTCTCTGCCAAAGGCCCCTGGGTAGCAATGTAGGCTTTCTGTTGTCTGGATTGCACAGAAGAAAGAGCACATTAATGTATCTTAACACACACAAATTCACTTGAGAGGTGAAAAATCACACCTGATTAAAAAAAAATGCACACACTATTAATTCAGTCACTACAAATTCCCCTAAAGAAGAGTGAGAGAGAGGAGGTAAAGGGGACAAAAAAGAGAGGTGTTATACATGGACTAACTCCCTGGGAGGAAATGCAATCATTCTGCTAAGATGTACTAATAAAATAATAAATAGATTACAAAAATCACATAAGAGTATTTACTACATTTTGGGGATTTCACAAAAAATTTCCTTGTTAATATGATAGCACATATCTTTTAATTTTATCACAAAGTTAATGGATCAATTTCATGTATCCTACAAATCTTAACCAACTATACATCTTTATTTTCTACAAATGATGCTCACATAATTTATTACACCTTTGAAATTTGGTGCTAAGCAGCTTCTCTACTAACTCCTTACAAATCCAAATGGTTTCTGGGAGAAAAGTAGAGAAAGTCAGTTAAAAGCTCCGTAACTATTGCTTCTTAACTCCCCAAATAAGAATAAATAAATACCAAGGGACTGCATGCCGAGCTATGCATAAAGCAAATGGCTTTGAATGGAAACGAAACTCTTTCTGGTCATGAATCTAGGGCACATGTAAATATCAAGGCTTTGCATTGTCAGGGGAGAGACAGTCGGTACCTGTATCCATCAATAAAACTGGCATTGATGTAATCAGATCCTTCCACTCCACGGATAGGCTGTAGGCAAACCCTTGTGGATTCATATGGCATAATATTAACAAGGCGATTTTTGAATTTATTACATGGAAGATTGGCACTGATGAATCTTGAGGTGTGAGCTTTTGAGCTGGCTAGACGCTGGTGAGAGAAAGAAAATTGACAAAAGATAATTTTAGATCGCATGAATACAATGGTACCAAGATTCTTTTCTTAGAGATAAAGCTTTTGTTTACGTGAATGTCAATGACCATTCAAATTGCACTGCTTTTCATTTCTACCTAATTACTTCACATAGCCTATTAAACTTTTAAATATTATATTCTGAGAGTATGATCTATTGATTTAAATCAAGATACAAAGGGCTTGAGGTATTGCTGAGAAGCAAAGAATAGAGAAGAAAAGTGTTTTATAATCAGTTACTTTAAAAGAAGGTCAGAGGAGTCTTGTACTTCAAAATTTGAAAGGTTAAAGGAAAGCTACTTCACAGAGATAGTCCCCAAATGACTTGCTCCTGAGTAACCCCATCATATCCAAAGCCATACCTTAAATTCGAGCTCCATTCCCGTGACGTTCTCCCCTGTTTCTATTTGTGTCAGCTTCTGGATGTAGGCATACAAGTTTCTAGCTGGCACTTCGGTATTGCCACAAGTCACTGCTTCTAACAGTGCATCGTGGATAAAGATGTACTGGTCCTCCGTTTGAACCATGTAATTCCTCTGGGCTCTCATTAAAGTCACATGGCCATAAATATCTACAGTTTTTTCATGCTTTATTCTTTCTAACATGGCATCTATTACAATGAAACAACCAGTCCGACCAACTCCGGCACTATAAAGAAAATGGAAAAGCCCAAATAAAATGATCAGAAAACACAAAAAAATATTGTTATTCTTATTAATGAGGCTCTATACTCATGGATTCAACTCAGCCATTATGATGACTTCTGAACACTCTAAAGTCAAAAGTATTATTACTGCTCCATTACCATAACATAGGGAACAAAATACTGAGTAAAATTCGTTTCACTTTGTAAGGTACAAAATATTAAATCCATAATTACCACACAGTACAAAATGAATATTATTTTGAAA